TAAATGAAAATCTGTGATTGGTTAAAAATAATTTTTGACCAATCACGTATTGGCATTTTTTCTAGATTTCTGATTCCTAGTGTGATGCATGAAAATCAGTGAACACAGCAATTTGAAAAGCATAGTAATAAAAATTTTTTCAATAAATTCTATAAACTTGTAAAATTTATTTAAAAAAATTTTTATTAAATTTGTTTAAGTTATTGGTGTTTAAAGTTTAAAAAAAAATCTATAAAAATAATTTTCTTGATTTCTACTGACTCACCCTCATATTGTAACCATCATATAGGAGAGCTTTATCAATCATGCCGAGTTTGATTCTGATGGTTGATACGAAACTTGATGAAAGATAAGGGAACTCGTATTTCATAGTTATTAGAAATTTATTATAGAAAGAATGGATTATTTATGTATTCTTTATTTAGGGATGATTTCAGAGAGCATACATCAGATTATAGTTGTGACCCAAAACCCAAAACTATATATAAATTCTCAAAACCGAAACCAAAACCTGAAACCCCTTCCGAAACTCGAACACTATACTGAAAATTCTAGAAATTTAGGTTTAAACTTTAAAACTTAAAGTATATGATGACTAAATTACAGTTCAAGAGTTTTTTGATTATTTTATAGCAAATGAGTATTAATTTTCAACATTCTAATTTGAAGGTTTCAGAAAGTTTTTGGGTTTCGGGTCACAACTATACATCAGATCCATTCGATAGTGAACTAAGATCAAGAACAACCCTTTATATACATTCCATTTCTCATAATTATCTACACTACTAATTCTGACTCACATATGCTTTCTCACAGGCAACTCATTCATGGGGCTATTTGTGACGGAGTCACGAGATAGCCCTTTTGTCATGAGATCAGGTTCAACTACACAGTGGTAAATTGATATCTACATTTGGCAGAAGTGATTGTATAATCATACGTAATTCACCAAAATTTAGTGCTATTTAAAAGGGAAACCTTGTAAGGGTTATTTTCTTCACTTTTATGCTTTGCTGTCGCTCAACTCTGAGGAGTTTAGCTCGGTCGACTTTATATAACAAAAAAGCTCAACAGTTAACTTCATAACGATCAGTTGGGACTTATAGACACAGCATCCAATCAATTTACGGAAAAGAAGCATTAACGAACGAACAAATAATAATAAATTAAGAGATCAAACGTTTAGTATAATACAAAGGACCAGCAGGTTATAATGAGCAGAAATATGAGTTCTCTTGGCGGAGAGTTAATTGAAAAGGATGTGAAAAGTACATCTACGCAAGAATTGCAAAAAGTCACACCAGACTCAAGCCTTAAAAACAACCTGGACAGGTTGACAATTGAAACATTGAGATCACTTTGTTCAGCAAAGGGTCTACCTGAGACAGGAAACAAGAAAGACTTGGCGGAACATTTTGCTACAAAGATTACTAATAAGATTAAGGGTAAGGAAACAACGAACATGGACGATTCTTGGCAAAGTGATGAAGAACGATATATAAACCAGTATGCGAACAACTTGAGGAAGGATTTTCAGAGAAAAGAAATAGGAGAACAAGGTAGAGACTATTATGATACATATGATCAGGCTAGAAGCATGTACGACGTACCGGAAAATATTTTATAGAACCATACAGGAGGGACTTATATGGAGGATAGGGGATACATTTCATTAGAGAAATCATTGGAGAAATCATTACAAGCAACGTTGACAAAGGCTTTAGAGGAAATAAAAATTAGTCTATAATTATCAGAAAAACAAGAGAACAAAGATTGGCCGGAAGTAAAGATGAACAGACCTAGAGATCAGTTCGAATACGAAGAATGGCGTAAAGTAGAAAAACTCCTTGATGAGGCGTTGACGAGTAAATCATGGGATCAAGTGATGAAGACTCAAGAGATCACTTATACTCGGGCTTATATGTTACGCATAGTAAATAAGGAAAAATGAGATGTTGCAATAGTATTGAAAGAATCTTGTAATGAAAGTCCATTAGAGACAATGTTTAAGAAAAAGTTGATGGTTGCCAGACAGTATAAAAATAAGAAAAGAAAGCTAGATTATTTATCAACAACAGCTGTGGTACCCCCCTTTCCTACATTTGTAACACCAGCAATGTGAACTTTGTATAATCGACTGTCTCATAGAGCACCACTAGAGCAAATTAACACAAACACTCCCGTGTTTTAACTATGGGTATCGCACCATCAGTTACTGCCGCAGCAACCGCAGTATATCTGGCCACAACATCAGGGTCCAACAACGTATCAAGGGTTTAACCATACACCTCTTACTTATCAGCAAATGGATGATTTTAGGAAGACAAGTAAGAAATCAGGAAGATCTACCAGTGTAGTTTGTTTTATATGCGAAGAACGTAGTCACATAGCCACCAATTGTCCTCAGAAAAAGATATTGAATTCGTTTCGGCAGTCAGAATCAAATATCTCTAGCTGACAACACTCAGGGGATACAAAAGGAAGGGAGGTATTGGATATCCAGGAGGAACTAAGAGTGACAGGGAGGATTCATACGATGAAAGCAGTAGAATATTGGAAAAGGGAGATAAAACTACCAGCCTTAGTAATGCACTGGTTAGAAAATAGAGTGCCGCAATATCCAAAAATGGTAAAATTGTTAGCTCGAAAAAAGATCTAATACAATTCAGATTCAAGGAGGAGGAATCGATATGGTTGAAGAAGGAGCTGAACCACCAATACAATTCAGATACAATTCAACAGATCCATCAAAGCAAAGAAAGATCAGACTTCTTGCTGGAAGTTAGCCCGATTTTCCTGATCCCCAAAACAGGGCGGAAGAAATTCAGACTAGTCATAGATTTGCGCAAATTAAACGAAACACTACCAGAGAAAACGGTTCGTTTCGAAGGATTGGGCAGATTTTTAAGGACAATCAGACGAAAGTGGTGGGTCATAGTTTTCGACCTAAGAGATGAATATCATCACGTAAAAATGGACAACTAGGCACAACGATTTTTGAGTTTCAGACATGGAGAGATCTGGTACTATTATACTGTTCTTCCTTTCGGCCTTTCCCAAGCAGTGTGGATTTTTTTCAAAATAATACGTTTTCTAATCGGCTTGTAGCGCTTAAGGAGAATTTTTTGTGGCAACCATCTGGACGATGTTTGGGTTGCCCACCCAGATTGGGAAATGTTGTTCAAGATCAGAGACACAATTATAGAAAAGGACCTAAAAGGGTGCGGTTGGGTAAGAGCTTTGGACAAAGGACAATAGGAGCTATCTCAAGTGGTGAAATATTATGGTCTGATAATCGATACGAGAATAGCCGAAGTGAGAATTCCAGAGGAGAAACTACAACTGGTCAAAAGCGAGTTAGATGCATTAAAGGATCTGGAAGTGATATCAGCAAGGAAACTTGCGTCAATAGCGGGAAAAATACAGAGCTTCGCTTGAGCTTTCTTACCAACACAGGCAAAATGTTTGGAATTTTACGATCTAATAGATGCGAAGAATCGAAAGCTTTGGCAATAGGACAGTCTGATACATCTAACAAGTCAAGCAAGAGAAGACATAAGATGGCTGAGCAAAAACATACAGAAATGGAACGGAAGACCGGCTTGGAAACCGTCATTATTCAAACCAATTTACATAAATGCATCAACGACAGGCTAGTATGAAATGTACCAAGGAAGGAAAGCGGCAAGAAGTTGGGTTCAGAGATTTACATCTATAGAAATAGCACAACTCGAGAGCATGGCTATCTTGAGAACACTTCAGGCATTCGAAAGTCTGATAAGTCATTCATGGGTAATGCTTTTTGTCGACAACAAGGTTGCTATCAAAACTGTGTCCCTCAGTTCTGGGTAAAGGCATCGACCAATTCTGTTCCGGGGCAAAAATACAGACTGTTGAAACGGCTTTTCTTGGCATTTTGATGGTTTGCAAACCTGTCTATTGACAGTTGCCCCCATTGCTCTTCTATCTTCGTGAATATCTGATCGTTTAGTTTCTAATCGTTTGTATCGATGTTGCGGGTCAGGTAATCTGCAGGGTTTTCTGCACTCGGAATCCAGTATACTTTGTAAATCCAAATATCCTTTGTCATACAGAATTCCCACAACAGTCGAGCAATCTGCTTTTGCTATACGTTTCCTCCCCCTCGGGACACAGTTTTGATAGCAACCTTGTTGTCGACAAAAAGCATTACCCATGAATGACTTATCAGACTTTCGAATGCCTGAAGTGTTCTCAAGATAGCCATGCTCTCGAGTTGTGCTATTTCTATAGATGTAAATCTCTGAACCCAACTTCTTGCCGCTTTCCTTCCTTGGTACATTTCATACTAGCCTGTCGTTGATGCATTTATGTAAATTGGTTTGAATAATGACGGTTTCCAAGCCGGTCTTCCGTTCCATTTCTGTATGTTTTTGCTCAGCCATCTTATGTCTTCTCTTGCTTGACTTGTTAGATGTATCAGACTGTCCTATTGCCAAAGCTTTCGATTCTTCGCATCTATTAGATCGTAAAATTCCAAACATTTTGCCTGTGTTGGTAAGAAAGCTCAAGCGAAGCTCTGTATTTTTCCCGCTATTGACGCAAGTTTCCTTGCTGATATCACTTCCAGATCCTTTAATGCATCTAACTCGCTTTTGACCAGTTGTAGTTTCTCCTCTGGAATTCTCACTTCGGCTATTCTCGTATCGATTATCAGACCATAATATTTCACCACTTGAGATAGCTCCTATTGTCCTTTGTCCAAAGCTCTTACCCAACCGCACCCTTTTAGGTCCTTTTCTATAATTGTGTCTCTGATCTTGAACAACATTTCCCAATCTGGGTGGGCAACCCAAACATCGTCCAGATGGTTGCCACAAAAAATTCTCCTTAAGCGCTACAAGCCGATTAGAAAACGTATTATTTTGAAAAAAATCCACACTGCTTGGGAAAGGCCGAAAGGAAGAACAGTATAATAGTACCAGATCTCTCCATGTCTGAAACTCAAAAATCGTTGTGCCTAGTTGTCCATTTTTACGTGATGATATTCATCTCTTAGGTCGAAAACTATGACCCACCACTTTCGTCTGATTGTCCTTAAAAATCTGCCCAATCCTTCGAAACGAACCGTTTTCTCTGGTAGTGTTTCGTTTAATTTGCGCAAATCTATGACTAGTCTGAATTTCTTCCGCCCTGTTTTGGGGATCAGGAAAATCGGGCTAACTTCCAGCAAGAAGTCTGATCTTTCTTTGCTTTGATGGATCTGTTGAATTGTATCTGAATTGTATTGGTGGTTCAGCTCCTTCTTCAACCATATCGATTCCTCCTCCTTGAATCTGAATTGTATTAGATCTTTTTTCGAGCTAACAATTTTACCATTTTTGGATATTGCGGCACTCTATTTTCTAACCAGTGCATTACTAAGGCTGGTAGTTTTATCTCCCTTTTCCAATATTCTACTGCTTTCATCGTATGAATCCTCCCTGTCACTCTTAGTTCCTCCTGGATATCCAATACCTCCCTTCCTTTTGTATCCCCTGAGTGTTGTCAGCTAGAGATATTTGATTCTGACTGCCGAAACGAATTCAATATCTTTTTCTGAGGACAATTGGTGGCTATGTGACTACGTTCTTCGCATATAAAACAAACTACACTGGTAGATCTTCCTGATTTCTTACTTGTCTTCCTAAAATCATCCATTTGCTGATAAGTAAGAGGTGTATGGTTAAACCCTTGATACGTTGTTGGACCCTGATGTTGTGGCCAGATATACTGCGGTTGCTGCGGCAGTAACTGATGGTGCGATACCCATAGTTAAAACACGGGAGTGTTTGTGTTAATTTGCTCTAGTGGTGCTCTATGAGACAGTCGATTATACAAAGTTCACATTGCTGGTGTTACAAATGTAGGAAAGGGGGGTACCACAGCTGTTGTTGATAAATAATCTAGCTTTCTTTTCTTATTTTTATACTGTCTGGCAACCATCAACTTTTTCTTAAACATTGTCTCTAATGGACTTTCATTACAAGATTCTTTCAATACTATTGCAACATCTCATTTTTCCTTATTTACTATGCGTAACATATAAGCCCGAGTATAAGTGATCTCTTGAGTCTTCATCACTTGATCCCATGATTTACTCGTCAACGCCTCATCAAGGAGTTTTTCTACTTTACGCCATTCTTCGTATTCGAACTGATCTCTAGGTCTGTTCATCTTTACTTCCGGCCAATCTTTGTTCTCTTGTTTTTCTGATAATTATAGACTAATTTTTATTTCCTCTAAAGCCTTTGTCAACGTTGCTTGTAATGATTTCTCCAATGATTTCTCTAATGAAATGTATCCCCTATCCTCCATATAAGTCCCTCCTGTATGGTTCTATAAAATATTTTCCGGTACGTCGTACATGCTTCTAGCCTGATCATATGTATCATAATAGTCTCTACCTTGTTCTCCTATTTCTTTTCTCTGAAAATCCTTCCTCAAGTTGTTCGCATACTGGTTTATATATCGTTCTTCATCACTTTGCCAAGAATCGTCCATGTTCGTTGTTTCCTTACCCTTAATCTTATTAGTAATCTTTGTAGCAAAATGTTCCGCCAAGTCTTTCTTGTTTCCTGTCTCAGGTAGACCCTTTGCTGAACAAAGTGATCTCAATGTTTCAATTGTCAACCTGTCCAGGTTGTTTTTAAGGCTTGAGTCTGGTGTGACTTTTTGCAATTCTTGCGTAGATGTACTTTTCACATCCTTTTCAATTAACTCTCCGCCAAGAGAACTCATATTTCTGCTCATTATAACCTGCTGGTCCTTTGTATTATACTAAACGTTTGATCTCTTAATTTATTATTATTTGTTCGTTCGTTAATGCTTCTTTTCCGTAAATTGATTGGATGCTGTGTCTATAAGTCCCAACTGATCGTTATGAAGTTAACTGTTGAGCTTTTTTGTTATATAAAGTCGACCGAGCTAAACTCCTCAGAGTTGAGCGACAGCAAAGCATAAAAGTGAAGAAAATAACCCTTACAAGGTTTCCCTTTTAAATAGCACTAAATTTTGGTGAATTACGTATGATTATACAATCACTTCTGCCAAATGTAGATATCAATTTACCACTGTGTAGTTGAACCTGATCTCATGACAAAAGGGCTATCTCGTGACTCCGTCACAAATAGCCCCATGAATGAGTTGCCTGTGAGAAAGCATATGTGAGTCAGAATTAGTAGTGTAGATAATTATGAGAAATGGAATGTATATAAAGGGTTGTTCTTGATCTTAGTTCACTATCGAATGGATCTGATGTATAGTTGTGACCCGAAACCCAAAAACTTTCTGAAACCTTCAAATTAGAATGTTGAAAATTAATACTCATTTGCTATAAAATAATCAAAAAACTCTTGAACTGTAATTTAGTCATCATATACTTTAAGTTTTAAAGTTTAAACCTAAATTTCTAGAATTTTCAGTATAGTGTTCGAGTTTCGGAAGGGGTTTCAGGTTTTGGTTTCGGTTTTGAGAATTTATATATAGTTTTGGGTTTTGGGTCACAACTATAATCTGATGTATGCTCTCTGAAATCATCCCTAAATAAAGAATACATAAATAATCCATTCTTTCTATAATAAATTTCTAATAACTATGAAATACGAGTTCCCTTATCTTTCATCAAGTTTCGTATCAACCATCAGAATCAAACTCGGCATGATTGATAAAGCTCTCCTATATGATGGTTACAATATGAGGGTGAGTCAGTAGAAATCAAGAAAATTATTTTTATAGATTTTTTTTTAAACTTTAAACACCAATAACTTAAACAAATTTAATAAAAATTTTTTTAAATAAATTTTACAAGTTTATAGAATTTATTGAAAAAATTTTTATTACTATGCTTTTCAAATTGCTGTGTTCACTGATTTTCATGCATCACACTAGGAATCAGAAATCTAGAAAAAATGCCAATACGTGATTGGTCAAAAATTATTTTTAACCAATCACAGATTTTCATTTA